CCTCAGCTTTTCCTTTCTCTTTCAACTTTTCCTCCTTCTCCTTCTCTTTCTCCTCCTCAACCATTCTTTTCACTTTCAAAATTTCCTCTTCCTCCTCCTGAGCCTTTCCTTTCAATTTCAATTTTCTTCTTCCTCCTTCAGTTTTGCTCGTCCCCCTCCTCCCATTTACTAGTACTACCACTTCTATTAATACTCGTAGTAGCGGTAGTAGTGGTAGTAGTTGCAATAGAAATCGGAGGAGGAGTAGTGGTCCCAGGTAAATTCATCATCATGAAAACATCTGTTTTAATTTTGAGGATGGTTAATTTTTGTCGTTGATGTTGTTGTAGATGCTGCTGCTGCTGCTTTCTCTTTCTTTTTGAAGGAGGAGGAGGTTGATTTAAGCAATCCTGTTGAGTTGCGGTATTCTCTCAAAGTGAGAGTGAACTCTTTTAATAGACATTCTTTGTTATGTATATTTCCTTTATCATTATTTATCATTTATAATAATGCTTATTACTTATGAAGACTTTCTCCTTTGCCATCCTGATGAGGTATCAGTTCGCTGAGGATGATGATGATGATGGTGCTTTCGTTGTAGGTTGTACACATTATGAGGACTCTCCTATTCAAGATAAGTTCTCGTGGAATCTCTGCAATATCATTATCTAATACATAGCGACATCGGGTAATTTGTGTGGTTACAGTGTGATGTAAAAAGTGCTAGGAATGCTATATACGTGTTTGATCCCAATTTGCAATGGTTGATAAGAAAAAGGGATAACCCGTAGTAACCAGGGAGAGGATCAAACAGATTCTCAGGACGAAAACTCAAATGGCCGCTCAGCAGCCAGAAGGAGAATTACAAGCTATGCTGGAGCACTTGATAAACCAATTGGATGAGTTGCGTGCAGAAGTTCGAGAAGTAGGTTTTCGGAATAACCACACCTCAGAATGTGCAACGCTCCGTGAGGTTGTTAATCGGCACATAGAACGAGATCCAGCCCGAGCATTTCAGGCACTTGTCAGTCTACGACCGACAATGACTCTGACCAAAAATAGGTCAAGGGATTGTCCATAGCACACACACAGTTGTCCAGCCAAGGCAGAGTCGAATTAATCTGCTGCCCCGCATACTTGATCCTGAGCCACAAACACTACTGATGGTGTCCAAACCTCGAGCACGCATTTCAGTGTTTGAAGCCAAAACACCAGCCTCTAATGCATTACATTAGGAACAATGAAATTGATCACTGGATCTGGCAGATAGAACTGCAGGTTGCCGATAGCAACGCTAGAATCCGAGCAGCAAGGATCCATTGTAAGGGAGATGCAGAAAGAGTAATCAACTCCCCACTGTTTGTTGGCATTTCTGAATGGGTATCATTTGCCCAACGATTACGCAGAAATTTTGCGGCACAACTACCACCTGAGTTTTTAAGGCAGCTATCCAGTAAGAGAGAGAACATAAAGTCCACATGACTTATTACTTGATATAGAGAGTGCAGTTCTGTCTGGTTGGAAGGACTGCTTGGGTATGGCAGATCGGCCAGAGGAGCTAGTCAAAAGAACATTTATTAGGCCCTTCCATTTTGGTTGCAAGAAAGCATTGCAGGCCAAGAGCATGGAAAACACAGATGAGCTTGCATCCATTGCAACTCGAATTTGGGGCATACGCCAAAGAGCTTGTACAAGGTACAGATTGAAGCACTCGGTACAGTTCCCAAGGCCCCCTAACCCTGAACAGGTAAAGACTGCAGCAGTTGGTGATCAACCATACTGTGCATTCCATCGTCAACAAGGCCATAGCACTCGTTGCCAAGAAAAGCCTAAAGGCTATGTTTGCTGGAAATGTGGTCAATCGGGATACAATCGCCAGCAATGTCCCTTTCGAGGAAGTCAGGCCAGGCAAGGAGCCCAAACTGAACCTGACATTGCCCAGAGAATGGGCTCATCAGGAAATTGTACAGGGAACTAGGCAAACAGGTAGGCCCATGGTTCAGTTGTGGGTGACAAGAAACAAGTCTCGATGAAACACCAACTTAAACCTAATAGGAAGCTTTTAGGTGTATAAGGAACTAAATTGGACATAGAGTGTGAGGCGGATGACCGGGTATGTTTATCGGCTGAAAAGTCGTTTGCTCACGGTATGCATTGTTGACGGTATAAAGTTTCCTGGAGATATGCTTATTGGTATGGATATCTTAAGCTGGGCCAATTATACTCTATTTCAGAGAAAGTATCCACCCTGTAATTTTCTTTATATTGATGGGGTCAAATTACCAGTGACTTTTACTGATAGCCCAAGTCTAGGTATAATTGTTTCTAAAAAAGCAAAGACGAACAACATAGACACAGTCGAAATAGTTGTCATGCCAAATACTGTTATGACTCCAATTAAAAGTACTATACCAACATGGGTCGTTAATCCCGGTAACCAGCCACTAAAGATTAAGGGGGAACCATGCTGGCTGAACTGAGTGATGTGCAGTCTTCGGAATATATTATCATGCCTACCTTATCAGATAAAACCATTAAAAACGATGCCTGTATCAATCGAAGTATATCTGACACAGTTTAAGTGTTGATTTTCCTGCTCCTCGTCCTTCAGTTGCTGACTTGCCTGCGTCTGGTCCTTCGGGTGCTGACTTACCTGCTTCTGGTCCTTTGGGTGCTGACATACCTGTGTCTGGTCTTTCTGTGCTGACATCCCTGCGTCTGGTCCTTTGGTTGCTGACTTACCTGCATCTGGTCCTTCGGGTGCTGACTTACCTGCTTCTGGTCGTTCGGGTGTTGACTTGCCTGTTTCCGGTCCTTCGGGTGGTGACTTGCCTGTTTCGGTCCTTCGGGTGTTGCGCCTGTTTCCGGTCCTTCGGGTGGTTGACTTGCCTGTTTCCGGTCCTTCGGGTGTGACTTGCTGTTTCCGGTCCTTCGGGTGTTGACTTGCCTGTTTCCGGGCCTTCGGGTGGTGACTTGCCTGTTTCCGGTCCTTCGGGTGGTGACTTGCCTGTTCCGGTTCCTTCGGGTGTTGACTTGGCCTGTTTCCGGTCCTTCGGGTGGTGACTTGCCTGTTTCCGGTCCTTCGGGTGTTGACTTGCCTGTTTCCGGTCCTTCGGGTGGTGACTTGCCTGTTTCCGGTCCTTCGGGTGGTGACTTGCCTGTTTCCGGTCCTTCGGGTGTTGGCCTGTTTTCGGTCGGGTGGTGACTTGCCTGTTCCGGTCCTTCCCTTCGGGTGTTGACTTGCCTGTTTTCCGGTCCTTCGGGTGTTGACTTGCCTGTTTCGGTCCTTCGGGTGTGACTTGCCTGTTCCGGTCCTTCGGGTGTTGACTTTTGCCCTGTTTCCGGTCCTTCCGGGTGGTGAACTTTGCCTGTTTCCGTCCTTCCCCTCGGGGGTGGTGACTTGCCTGTTTGTTTCCGGTTTCGGCTTCGGTGTTGACTTGCCTGTTTCCGGTCCTTCGGGTGTGACTTTCGGGTGTTGACTTGCCTTGTTTTCCGGTCCTTCGGCCTGTTTGCTTCGGGTTGACTTGCCTTGTTTCCGACTTGCCTTCGGGTGTTGACTTGCCTGTTTCCGGTCCCGGTCGTTTTCTTTGGTGTTGACTACTTGACGGTCGTCCGGGTGTTGACCTTGCCTACTCCCAGTCCTTCGGGTGGTTTGACTTGCCTGCTTCTGGTCCTTCGGGTGTTAACTTACCTGCTTCCCAGTCCTGTTGGGTGCTAAACTTGACGTTTCCTGTCCTTCGGATGTTGACTTACCTGCTTCTGATCCTTTGGGTGTTGAGTTACTTGTGTCCAGTCAGAGTGCCACTTGCCCGTTCTTAATAGTAATATTCTCAGCCACTCTATTAAGCCCTCTGAAGATTTGGATGTTAACCCACAGTTCGACTTTGAAGAGGGTGATTTGACCTGCAACATGATCAAATGGATTTTGGGTACACTGCAGATGAGTTTGATGTTTTCCCAGAGTTAACTTTTGAATCCCTTACCTGCTCGGTGACTCTGACACCTCTCTTTGAGGAGAACCATCCACTTTCTATCTGAAGTTATACCCATGCCTACAGTTGCAACATAAATGAAGGAAGTACAGGTTGGTGCGATTACTTCTCCAACACTCACTAACCTGATAGCTCCTGCTAAAGATGGTCATGAGGAAATTCCATTATTGGATCATCTGGATGAGAGTGAGAAAGGAACATCCAGAACCTCCCAAAAGTTCCCTGGTTTGTTTAGTACAGACACCTTGGATATAGGTACCATTCCCGATGTTACACATTCAATACCAACAGAAAATGCCAAACCAACTGTTAACAGGTAGTGGAGGTTACCGCATACAGCACACATTACAATTCGAGAACAGTGTGATGCCATGGCTACAGCTGGTGTCATTGAGCCTTTAACTAGCCCTTGGCTAGTTGTACTTGTGAGGAAGAAGAATGGCACTGTACGATTCTGTGTAGACTTCCGCACTATTAATGCCCTTACAACAACTGACTCATACCCATTACCACAAATTCAGCAAGTGATTGATGACCTCCACCGAAGCTGTATTTTTTCATCCTTGGATGCCCACTCTGCCTATAGGGCTGTTCTAGTTAAACCCCAAACCAGCCTTCAGTGATGGAGCTCGTGTCTGGCAATTCAAAAGGATGCCATATGGTTTTGAAAACAGCTCTCAAACATTTCAACGGATCATTAATTTTATACTGTCATCTGTGTTAGGGTCGCCATACAGCTGCATACCTTGATGTAGTCATCTTTAGCAGAAGTATGGAGGAACATTTGAACCACCTACAGGAAACACTGTCCCTATTACATTGAGCGGGGGTACTTTTAAACCCCACCAAATGTGAGATTGCTGTCAGGAATTTCAAATTTCTGGGATTTGAGGTGTCGGCAGAGGGAATCCTTCCTGATCCAGACAAAGTACAAGCCATAACAGAGATGACATACCTTAAAGATGTCCGTGGCATTAGGAGGTTTTTTTGGCGCTGCAGGCTTTTTCCGACGATACATCGCCAATTTTGCTAAAATGGCAGCTCCGTTAACAGCTCTGACTAGGAAAAAATGCAAAGTTTACTTGGACAGGTGAGTGCAGCAGCAGCATTTGAGTCTTAAATCAGCTTTGATATCTGTGGGTGGGTGCTTCATGCGCTGGGTGATGTGAAGCGATGAGTGGTAGTAGTCTAGTTAGTGTTTATAGCTTTTGCATGCCTTCTCGCTTACAGCTGCCACCGCTGGCTAGCCTTGTGCGAAAAAGGGAGCAGCTCTGCATAAGCCTCCCCCTGCCAGTGCATAGCCTCTCCATCATCGAGACTCCCTGCAGTGCTTCCTCATGGCCTCCCATGGAAACTGGGTACAATGCGGTTCAGGCTAAACTGGGGGATCTCAGAGCAGCAGAGGCCCCAGGTTCAGGGTCATGGCCCCCGCGCGTGTGGACACGCCTGCCCTGTACCAACTTCTGCCCCAAGCCCCTTGGGTTTAATGGGAGGCTCGGGGAGGTGGGCCTTGCCAGTCCTCCTCCCCCCAGATATAACCAATCGGGCAGTGCCACTAATAAACGGAAAGGCTGGGGAGGAGGGGAAAAGGCAAGTGAGGCGGACTGTGGGCCTGCTGGGGGCGACTGCTGGAGCGCAGGCTGGGAACGGGAACTACTCATCTCGCCTGCGCTTCTGGTGGCCGCCAGCCCAGAGTGAAGCTTGTGGGGGGAAAGCCCTCGGAACCCCACAGGTGGATGATGGGGCACGCAGCCCGCCACCCCCTTTTATATGGGGCAGCGTTGGTGCGGGTGGCAGAGGTGGCATCCACCTAGAGCGACTGCCAGAGGCTGAACCTCAGGCGAGAATTCAGGATAGGGGCTTGGAACGTCTGTTCTTTGCGTCAGGATGGTCGGTTGCCTCTACTGTCGAGGGAACTGGGGAGGCTGAGAGTTGAGGTGGCTGCTCTCTCGGAGGTGAGGAGGCCTGGCAGCGGCATGACCTGTGTAGGTAGCTACACCTATTACTGGTCGGGCCGCAGCGACGGCCACATCTCCAGGGAGTAGCCATTGCCACCTCCAGCAGACTCCAGCCCTCGGTAGTAGAGGTTACTCCTGTTGATGAGCGTATAATGGTATTGAGATTGAAGCTATCTTTTGGCTTCATGTCTCTTATTGCTGTGTACGCTCCTACCGATGTTTGTAAACTTGACGTGAAAGAGATGTTCTACGCCAAACTTACATCTGTGGTAGACAGATGTCCCCGGCGAGATATTTGCATTGTTCTGGGTGACGTCCAATGGCCGGTATCTGGCTGTGATCCGGGGGCTGGCTATGACTGAAAT